CTGTGGCCAGTCACTGAACTGTCCACTCCTGGACGGTCTCAACTTCACCAGGGCTCTGGCCCTTAGAGTCCAGATCAGGACCCGGGAAGTCCCCTCTGGGGCCCCGAACCATAAAGCCGAGCGGGAGGCTGAGCCATTGATCCACTCGGCCGCGGGCGCCTTTCTCCTGGGAAGCGCGCCCACCTGCCCCACCCCGGCATAGACGCGCTGCCCGGTCACCAACCGGTGCCCATCGGGTTTCGGGTTTCCCTTCCCGAGCCTTATCCTCCCGAGAGCGACGGGCTGCCTGGGACTTGTGGCCCCACCTGGAATGTTGTTTTACCTTTTACCTTCAGTCTAATTCCCAAGAAGTAGCCAAGGTCAAAGCGTATGCTAAATGTTCTCAGCCCTTCAGGCCCCACCCAGTGCCGCCTATCCGGGCTTACTAGCAACTGCACTGTCGGGAATCTGACACGAACACGGTACTGGAATTGGGAATCCTCAGGACTGATCCGCGCCCCCGCAGACCTGGTTCTCAACGTACATGCATCCTAACTCCATCCTGGTTGATGCAGTGTCTGTTGAGTAGCAGACCTCTGCTGAGCTACTTTTTTATATGGATCGTCTCGTTTAATTTTCAAAGCCAAGGTGATTGGTACATATACATGGTGTGGTATATGTAAATTTCTGCATTTTATTGTAGGTTTAAAAAAAGACTAAGAGAGTGAGGCACTACAAGCATACCCATTTTACAGAGGAGGAAACTGAGGTTCAGAGTTCTTCCAGGTCGATGCTGCTTGTGGTGGTGGCCCTGGGATTAGAAAGGGGGCAGTACGCATCAAAAGTTATCTTCCTAACTCCTCAAGATCAGATTCTGTGGGGCAAATGTTGGCCTTCTTGAGCCTATTCTACCTCTCACTCATGATGTCTGCTCCCCTCTGAGCTGGTGTGGCACAAGTCGCTGGGGAGAGGGGGTGATTACACAGTTATTCTGGAACACAAAGAGGTTTTGAGCCAGAAGTGACCTCTGCAATCATAGACCCCACCATTTTCTACCTTAGAGCTCAGAAAGCAGAGGCCAGAAAGGCAACTTTCAGGGCCTCCTCAAAGTCTCAAAGGTTGTTAGAAGACTTGCCTGAATTCTAGGATTCCTCCTGCTCAGAGGACAATTTTGTGAAGCAACAGTTTGGGCCTAGGAGAGGGCTATTTTTCCCTAGGGAGGGAATCTAAGATGTAACTGTGTTGGTCAAACTGTGTTTGTCCCTGGATGTTCCTGGTGCTGGGGCCTCAGCAGTGACCAGTACGGAAATCCTTCAATAAAGTAATGGGAGCTATTTATATCTGGAGCAGGACAGAGTGGGGAGAGGACAGCTCCAGGGTAGGTTTAAGTATCTTAAGACACGCAAACCACTTGGCAGCCAGTTGCAGAACCAGCTGTGTTTCATCTATGAGGGTCACACACCTCTTTAAAAAAGGAGAGGGTGCAGAATGAAGGAAGATTAGCACAGACCGGGAGGAAGCTATGCAGGGAAGGTGAGGATCAGGTTCGGGGAGCATGAGAGAGGCCACCTTCTAGTAGGGTGAAAAACTGGGTTGGAGGAAAAGTGATTGCTTATGTAGGAAACTCCTCAGGCAAGAGGACAGCGGCTCTGAGACTTCTGCTCCTAGAGCTCACACAATGAAATTTTGCCTTGAGAGTGAGCCAGCTAGGTCTTTCTTGCCAACCATTCTCAGCACATAGTAAATATGGGGAAGCCCAATTTCTTCCCAGACCCTGCTGTTTACCTTGTCTCCAACCCCTAAACTTTGTATCCTGGTGTTAAGGTCCTTACCAAGTCCTCTCTCAGCCTCCTAGAGTCTGATCTGTAGGGTGAAGTGCAGCATCTCTTGGGGGTGGGAAGGAAGCTATGTCCCCTGATGGCATCTTGGGGTTACAGAAGACAGGACCTAGCTTTGGCATGGGGATGGGTTGTCAGATGTCCTATCTGGATCCAGGTGAGCCCTGCTCAGCCCCTCCCACAGCCAATGCCCAAGGCCACAGGTCGACACCACTAGCTGGGCTCTGGGGCACCAGGATGACAGCAGATGAAGAAGCCTAGAAGGCATCTCTCTGCTGTCCTACCCCATGATACTCCTACTCCTCCGACAGTGATATCTGACCCAGAGGGAAGAAATGCCAGCATATAATCTATGCTCACTATATAATCTATGCTTACTATATAATATATGTACACTATACAGATAGTTAATGAATGAATAAATCACTGAGTCTTATGCAGATGCAAGCAGTGAAGAGTTGAGAAAAAAGCGAGAATTCCCTCCCCAGCCCTTGGCCAGAGCAACCCAAGGGAAGATGACCACAGGGGAGGGAACACAGTAAGAAGGAAATAGGGTGGGGCTGGGGGGGTGTCCTGTGGTGTTAGGGTGGTGGGAGGCAGCGTCCCAGCTTCAGGGCTACAGGAGTGGAGGAAACTCGCAGAGAGGAGCTGAAGGACAGCCGTCGGGTGCACTAACTGGCCGAGGTCTTTCTGCTTCCCAGAGGGACTGGGAGGGGGGCTCTTCACATCCCCCCTACCCCAGCTGCGCTTCTCCAGTCTCCCGCTAGGCTCTTTTGGACTAGTTCAAGTCGCATCCTGGGCGGTCAAAGGGTTTGGCAGGGCTCCTTTTCCTGCCTCCCTACCTTCCTCCTTCCCTTCCCTTCCCTCCTTTTTTCCTGGTCCTTCCTCTTTCCAGCTCCCTAGCCAGGCGGCCCAGTGGCAGCCTAGCAGCCCCCACCCCCTTCTGTAAGGGCGAAATTGCTAAACTTGTAGCAATAATGACCCTGCATTCAGGCCGTCGACTCCCGCTGAAAGTCTCCGCGCCCCGGCCCGCCCGGCCTAATCAGCGCGCCCCTCCCTGCCGCCCGCCCAGCCCCCGTCCCTCTTGCCGCCCCTTCCCCCAGCGCACAAAAAATGGGGAACAAAACCCCCGCGCATTTCTCCGTCCCTCTGTTGAGCAGACTGCTGCACAAAGCTCCCGCTCTGAGAAGCAATGGGGAGCTCGGGGGGGACGTCAATCCGACGCGCTAGGGTTTTTGTTCGCGCAGGGGACCTCGCCTTCCTACCACACCTTTTGTTCGGGACTCCAATAAAAAGCCATTCTTTCCGCACCTTCCCGGCCCGGAGCCGCCTTTCAGCGAGGCCCGGCCCCACAATGGTGCGGCGCTCTGAGGCCTCCCCATTCACCCGCCTTGGCACGCTCACAATCGGCCGTGTGGCAGCACAGGCCTCGCACAGGCATTCTCCGCAAGTGACAAGGAACTGCATAAAGCCGCGGCCGCCGGGGGAGAAGGGAGGGCGGCCGAGGGGGAGAGCTCGTCCGCGGCGGGGCGCACCGCAGCGCCCCCGAGCGCGCTGGAAGCCCCGGCGGCGGCGGAGCAAGGAGCCCTCTTCGTGCCGCCAACGGCTGGGCGTGGGGACGAGGTTCCCTCTGGTTCCCTCTTCTCCAGCGACCCTCGAGGTGGGCAGTTTAGGCTCTGACCTGGGAAGGTTTGGACAGCTCATTCAAGCATCTCCGTAAAATCTGAGGGCATTACAAAGCCAGGGACCTCAAAAGGCCCAGAGTCTGCGGCCTGTTCTCCCAACAACAGTAAAGAGAAATTAATGAACAAAGCCAAGAAAGAAAAGACTTGCAGCCGGGGGCCAGGGAAGACCAGTCCTGTGCTCTCCCAGGAAAGACTGTTTTCCCGTACGCACCTTTTCCTTCCTTTCCTACCCCCTTTAAAGGATCCTTCCCTGTTCTTTTGGGCTAAACAGTCTACCCAGCCAGTGGTTTGGAAATATTGCACCTTGTTTATTGACTCCTGTAGTGTATGGCAGCGGGTGTGTACACGGCGTGTGGATACAGTTATACATAGATAGATAGTATGTGCTCAGTTCAGGTTATGGAACAGAAAGGAAGCCTGGCCTCGGGTGGGCCACCAGGTCTTGGGTTAGCTCAGCGCAGCCTCCCCGCTCCCCACTCCTCTCACTTTGAATTTCACTGGGCTGGTTTTCCTTGCAGAGTCCTTCCTGACAATCCAGAGATCCGGGTTGAAGTCTGCGCTGCGAGGGGAGGCGGGTGGAAATGAACATCAACTGTGGTCTGGCGCTCCGGGCCCCACAAAGGGGTCAGAGGATCTGTGGAGAGCCTGTGATTTCTCAAACCGCGATCCCTTTCTCTTCTTCGTGCCTTTCTTTCTTCTTCTTTTTTTTTTTTTCTTCTTTTCATTTTTGGGCCGGGTTCCCCGCCAACGCTTCGCGGAGGCCATGGGAAGGCCAAGGGCAAGAAGCCTTCTCACCTCGGAAAATAAGTGGCAGCCCGAGTTCCAGTCTCCTGCTCTCCCCTCGGGCCCCCGCGGCTCGGGACCACCATCCTCCCAGGCGCCTGGCCAGCGGTTCCGACTCGGTAGTCAGTCTTGACAACCGGACCTGGGCATGCCCTTGGCCCTTGAGTCCCCTTCCCCGGCCTTGAGCGATATGCGATCCGAAGCTCTGGGGCGCAGGACGTGTATTTATTTTTAACGAGGGGACCAGGACCTTGGCTCTGGCCTTTCTCGAGCTGCATCCCCGTGGCGCCAAGCTGTCCCTACCAGGCCCGGATGCCCTGCAAGGTGCCCTGTGCACACGCGGCCCCGCCGGCGGCTCCCTGATGCAAGGGCTGCGCGCTGCCACCGCCTCCGAAACTTCCCAGGTTGCTCACGTTCACAAAGGACCCGGCTCCCGAAGCGCTGCAGGAGGGCTGCATGGCCGAGGCCGCCGCGGAGGACCCGCCGCCGCCGCCGGGGGGGTACGCACAGCCGTAGCTTCCGCTGTAGGCCGCGGCAGCGGCG